CAACAAGGAAAAGTTCAGAAAATTAGGAGCACATAGTCAAACAACTCCAGGTTGGGAGTGAGGTAAGAAGGGAGCTTGAAATTGAAAGATGAATCAGTGCAACTTCTGAAGTCTTGTGTACTCCATGCTGGTCCATTGTGGTTAAGATGGAGCTGAGCTACAAGGAGAAATTTCTATTTACTGGTTGGCCTATGTTCCTACCCTCACCTCTGGTCCCAAACTCTTGATTGTGACTGAAAAGAACAAGATTGTGGATACAGGCAGTCGAAAAGAGTTACCTCCGCAGGGTAAATGGACAGGGTAAATTACAGTGGGGCAAAAAAGTATTTAGTCTGTCGCTGATTGTGCAAGTTCTCCTACTTAGAAAAATGAGAGATGCCTGTATTTTTCATCATAGGTACACGTCAACTATGAGAGACAAAATGAGGGGAAAAAAATCCAGGAAATCACATTGTATGATTTTTTAAATAATTTATTTGTAAATTATAGTGGAAAATAAGTATTTGGTCGATAACAAAAGTTAAACTCAATACTTTGTAACAATCTTTGTTGGCAATGACAGAGGTCAAACATTTTCTGTAAGTCTTCACCACTCTAGTTGGTATTTTGGCCCATTCCTCTACACAGATCTCCTCTAGAGCAGTGATGATTTGGGGCTGTCGCTGAGCAACACGGACTTTCAACTCCCTCCACAAATTTTATATATGGTTCAGGTCTGGAGACTGGCTAGGCCACTCCAGGACCTTGAAATGCTTTTTATGGAGCCACTCCTTCGTTGCCCGAGCGGTGTGTTTGGGATCATTGCCATGCTGGAAGACACAGCCACGTTCCATCTTCAATGCTCTCACTGATGGAAAGAGGTTTTGGCTTAAAATCTCACCATACATGGCCCCATTCATTCTTCCCTTAACACGGATTAGTCATCCTGTCCCCTTTGAACAAAAACAGCCCCAAAGCATGATGTTTCCACCCCCATGCTTCACAGTAGGTATGGTGTTCTTGGGATGCAATCCAGTATTCTTCTTCCTCCAAACACGATGAGTTGAGTTTTGAACAAAAAGTTCTATTTTGGTTTCATCTGACCACATGATATTCTCCCACTCCTCTTCTGGATCATCCATTTGCTCTCTGGCAAACTTCAGACGGGCCTGGTCATGTACTGGCTTGAGCAGGGGGACACGCCTGGCACTGCAGGATTTGAGTCCCTCTCTGCATACTGTGTAGCCTTTGTTACTTTGGTCCCAGCTCTCTGCAGGTCATTCATCAGGTCCCTCCGTGTAGTTCTGGGGTTTTTGCGCACCGTTCTCATGATCATTTTGACCCCATGGGATGAGATCTTGCATGTTGCCCCAGATCGAGGGAGATTATCAATGGTCTTGTATGTCTTCTATTTTCTTACAATTGCTCCCATAGTTGATTTATTCACACCAACCTGCTTGCCTATTGTAAAGTCACTCTTCCCAGCCTGATGCAGGTCTAGAATTTTCTTCCTTGTATCCTTCGACAGATCTTTGGTCTTGGCCATTGTTGAGTTTGGAGTCTGACTGTTTGAGGCTGTGGACAGGTGTCTTTTATACAGATAACGAGGTCAAACAGGTCCATTAATACAGGTGATTGCTAGTATCACTCAGACCTCTGTGAATAGTAAACAGCCATCAGTGTGCTAATGATCCATTGTTAGGCTGATGGTCCTTCTTGACCATGTGAGCAGCTGGTTTTGGTTGTCAGCAGCAAACTGGTTGACCCACTCTGAGAAGGTGCTATTTAAGAGACTGAGCTGAAAACAGCACCTCAGACTGAGGAAGTCTCTTGGATGAGAGACGAAACGTTTCTACATTTTTTTGCTTTGTTTTGTTTTTTGTTTTTTTGAAAGTCCAGAGGACCAGATTGAACTTTTTTAGATTTTTCTACCTGGATTATTGAGCATGCATCAGGATATTTTGAACCACTTTGGCCAGGATTGCCTCAAACTAGTTAGAGAGTTTGAGAAAACAGCAAGGAAGAGGGCAGACTACAGGAACCACTTGCGATTCAACCTCAGATGTCGACAAAGTGGCATCATTCCCAAGAGCCTGGAACTAAAATCATCGGTCAGCGGGCACCGGGCAAGCAAGATCCTTCAGAAGGCACAAACCCAGCTGCTGAATGAACGGGTGAGACAGACCAATTTTACTATTGAGGCCTTGAAGGCCAAAGAAGAGCACATTAAACAGAAACTAACTATGTGTCTAGATCAGACCACACTTAAGCAAGTGATGGACTGTACAGATCAGGCATGCTTAGCACAGCATGTCAAGTCCAAGACTCGACAACAAAACAAGTTTAACTTACTAATAACTCATCAACACCATCACTATTCCAATAACAACACATTCAGTGTAGGACAACACTCCAGTAGTCAATTACATGCCAGGGAGACAGAAAAGTAGGTGAAGAATTTATCTGACAGACAGCTCACCCAGCCGGCGACAGAGATTCTTGCCAGGGGACTGAACTTTGCGGTTGCACCAAGTACAATCCCTCTGGTGGAGATGATCACAGCCACAGAATCAGCCATCCGCAACAACAAAATGAAAGAGGGTGAAGCAGAACTGCTCAGAATCAAAGTTTCATCCTGCCTCAGCAATGCCAAACCACCACCTTCCAACATCAGTAGAGAGGAGAGGGGTGCACTCACCACTCTTAGCAAGGACAAAAACATCATCATTCTCCCAGCAGACAAAGGAAGGTGCACAGTGATTTTGAACCAGAAAGACTATCATGAGAAAGTTATGACACTCCTTAGTGACTTAACCACTTATGAACCTCTGAAAAGAGATCCAGGAAGTGGTTACAAGAAGAAGTTAAGAGATTGCCTGAAAAATTTGGAGCAGGACAAGGCTATTGACCGTATTCTGTACCACAGACTGTACCCAGGGGAGGCCACACCTAGTCTGTATGGTTTACCTAAAATCCACAAACAAGGTGTACCTTTAAGACCAATTGTTAGTATGATTAACTCTGTCACTTACAATGTTTCCAAATATCTGGCATCTGTACTCATCCCTTTAGTTGGCAGCTCAGAACACCACATACAGAACACCATGGACTTTGTGGATAAGGTGAGGGATGTCATCATGGAGACTGATGAAACAATGGTCTCTTTTGATGTCACATCACTCTTTACGTGCATTCCTGTTGATGATGCAGTAGAGGTGGTCAGTTTAAGATTAAAATCAGACACCACTCTGAGCAGCAGGACCACGCTTTCCACAGAACAACTGTGTCAACTCTTGAAACTGTGCCTGCAGTCAACCTACTTCACATATGGGGAGCAATACTATAGGCAGAAACATGGGTGTGCTATGGGGTCTCCAGTTTCTCCTATTGTTGCCAATCTGTACATGGAGGAGGTAGAAAAGAGAGCCTTGACGTCCTTTTCAGGGACACCACCAAGTCATTGGTTCAGGTATGTTGACGACACCTGGGTTAAAATCAAATCTCAGGAAGTCCAACATTTTACTGACCACATCAACTCTGTGAATAAATACATCAAGTTCACACGAGAAGATGTAAAAAATGGCAGGTTGGCTTTCTTGGACTGTGAGGTCTCAGTCTCTGATAGAGGACATTTGCAAACTGAGGTGTACTGCAAACCCACACACACAGACCAGTATTTGCAGTTTGACTCCCATCACCCTTTGGAGCACAAGTTAGGAGTCATCAGGACTCTGTCTCACAGAGCAGACAGTTTCCCCACTAGCTCGGGAGCCAGGCAGAAGGAGAAATCCCACACAAGACAGGCTCTAGAGCAATGTGGATATCCTAACTGGGCCTTCCTGAAAGCAGAGAAGAAACCCAAACAAGACTCCAGTCAGCCAACAGGTGAAAAGGAGGAACCCAGACCCAGACCAGTGGTCATTCTGTATGTTGAGGGAGTATCAGAGAAACGGAGACGTTTATTTTCTAAACATAACATCCCAGTGGCTTTTAAACCCCAAAATACATTAAAGACTGGTTCATCCCAAAGATCCAGTCCCCCGGCACAAACAGAGTAATGTTGTGTATGCTGTTCAGTGTCAGGAGGGCTGTGATCAGTCTTATATCGGGGAAACTAAACAGCCACTGGCCAAAAGGATGGACCAGCACAGAAGATCAACATCATCAGGCCAGGATTCTGAGGTCTACACTCATCTCCAGGTCAGAGGTCACTCTTTCAAGGATGAAGATGTTCACATCCTGGACAGAGAGGAATGATGGTTTGAGAGGAGTAAAGGAGGCCATCTTTGTGAAAAGAAACCGTCCATCATTAAACAGGGGTGGAGCCTCCGGGTTCAACTGTCCCCCTCTTACAATGCTGTGATTGCTAGTATCACTCAGCCCTCTGTGAACAGTAAACAGCCATCAGGTGCTAATGATCCATTGTTAGGCTGATGGTCCTTCTTGAGCATGTGATCAGCTGGTTTTGGTTGTCAGCAGCAAACTGGTTGATCCACTCTGAGAAGGTGCTATTTAAGAGACTGAGCTGAAAACAGCACCTCAGACTGAGGAAGTCTCTCGGATAAGAGACAAAACGTTTCTATATTTTTTTGCTTTGTTTTGTTTTTTGTTTTTTTTGAATGTCCAGAGGACCAGATTGAACTTTTTTGGATTATCAAAATAAAGTTGAGTTGAGAAAACAACATTCATTCTCAACTTATTTTGACTCGTTAGTTTTGACAGCAGCTTTTAAAAAAACAGGCTGTTGGACTACCATTGATTTTGAGTCAATCATAACTTAAAACAAACAACAGCACTGATCATTTCGACTTGTTTTCAAGCAGGTCTGAAAATGCTGACAAGAACTAGTAATTACTGTATTAATGATGTAAGCCTTAATGAAGAATCCCAAGACAGTAATTCCAATAAACCTGGACCAGGCAAAGAATTATTATTTCTGGCACCCATCTGTGGAAATCTAGTTTTGCCCCTCATATTGGTTTCTTTTAACTGGTCAGCAAGAAAATGTTACATCCCTGAGGTCAGCATTTCGGGTCATTTACCTGTTTTTGGTCCCACTTGAAATCAGGAAGCAGGACAAACCCCAGGTCTGGGTTTGGATCTTCATATACTATCTTGTCAGCTTCTGCCTTCTTCTCTAGGATGTTGTAAACCCACTGAAAAAAAGAAAAATGTTGAAACCAGTATTTCAAAATCAGTTTGATGTAACAAAACTAATCACAAACTAATCACACTAGGACGAAGTCCCTCTCTATGCAACTGGGTCCTAGACTTCTTAACCAATAGACGATAATCTGTAAAGATCCACGACTTGTCCTCCTCCCCCATAACCCTCAGCACGGGTTCCCCCAGGCTGTGTGTTGAGCCCTGGGGGGAGCCTGAGATACAGTGGTGGTGGGATGCATCAAAAACAACGATTAGTCCAGCTACAGGCAGGAGGTGGAACACCTGGAGAGCTGGTGCAGCAAGAACAACCTTCACATCAACGTGAAGACGACGAAGGAGATGGTCATGGACTTCAGAAGGAATGAACAAACGAGCCCCCCCCCCCACACACACACACACACACACACCCCAACATAAGTGGATCTGAGACTTTTAAATCTTTGCTGAAGACTCATCTGTATTCCTTGGCATTTGATCCACGCAGAGTCTGAGAACAAATTTTGAGCTGATTTTATTGTTGTTGTGTATTTACCATGTTTCTGAGTGGCACTCAATGCATTTTTTTACTTTTTTTATCTGTCAACTGTAAAGCACTTTGGTCAGTAGCTGTTGTTTTTATGTGCTATATAAATAAAATGTCATTGACATTGACATCTTCAATGGAAGTGGTCTCCAGCTACAAGAACTTGGGTGTACACATGAACAACAACCTCAGCTGGAGCAACAACACCACCAGCCTCATGAAGAAAGCTCATCAGAGACTCTGAGACGAGCTGGTCTGGGAAGCTCAGTCCTCACCTCCTTCTACAGGTGTGCAGTGGAGAGCATCCTGTGCTCCAGCATCAACGTGTGGCATGGAGGCTGCACAGCTGCAGAAAGAAAAGCTTTTCAGAGAGTGGTGAAGGCTGCACAGAAGTCTGTCGGAGTCAGCCTCCCCACCATTACAGACATCTACACCTCCAGATGCAGGAAGAGGGCCACCTGCATCATGAAGGACCACACCCACCCAGCACACACACTTTTTGCCCCGCTCCCCTCAGGAAGGAGGTTGAGGAGCATTAAGTGTAGAACCACTAGAATGAGGAACAGCTTCTACCCTGAGGCTGTTAGACTCATGAATCTCTAACCAGGAAAAAAATTCTGTGAAAATCACAGTGAAAAAAAACTATGAAAAATAATCACTGTAATGTCACTTGGTGGTTGATATGTGTTAATGACTATCTGTGATACTGAACTCATGCTGTTGATTATTCCATGTTGCTGTGTTCATTGGTCCTCATCTCTCACACAGACTCATGTTCGTGCTGCTGTTTTTGGCACGTTGTTTTTGTACTATTACTGTTTAGTGTATTCTTAGTCTTGTGCATTTTTAGTTTAGTGAATGTAGTATATTATTAGTTCATGACTCAGATCTTACTAATGTTTTTCTTTACAATTTGTACTTTTGTTGGATGTAACTGGGACCCTGTGTACATAGTTTTGTTCCACCTCATGTACCACATGTGATGAGAATGACAATAAAAATCCTTGTATCCTTGTAAAGGTTATCTAGGAAGTGGTCAAACAGCTAGTCTTACCTGCAAGCTAAAACTTTGCTGCTGGATGTAGGGCAGCGTGATGGACTCGTAGTCTTCCACCGACTCTTCCACCAGGAAACTCTCCTGCTGCTGGTATTTCTTTAAGTGCTTCTGAGTGGCTGGGTACACGACCGTAGTCTTAATCTCTAGAAAATAAAACAGAAACAACAACAACAGCTAATTTGGCTGGGAAACAGCCTGTTGACTAAAGACAAAAAGAACTCAGTGGTTCATCTTCTCAGTTGTACCATTGAGGTGAGGCGGGACCTGGAGACGGTAAGTGCTGTAGATGTCATTCTTCATGTCCAGTCTGAGTGTGGAACAACTGAGGAGCTCCGTGAACATGTCTTTTCTGATGGGAGTCTTCTCCAGGATGACCACAGCATCCTGATCTGCAATCTGAAGAGGGCATGTTCAGCAAGTGCACAAGTGTCCTTTTAGGAAAGCTTAAAATCCATATTTTAGTGACATACAACAAAGAACCACAAAACTGCACATGTCCTATAAATCCACCTGACAATGTTACTGTATACAAGGGAGGGAAACAAAATAAATAAATAAATATATAAAACTATATATACATATATAAATACACATATACATATATATATATATATATATACATATACATATATATATATATA